TCGGCCAGGGCATTGTTGGAGACAGAGTGGGTGGAGGACAAGTGTGTACATGGGGACATACAAAAATATGTCTCCTCTGGGAAGGAGGAGACGGTGTTTCAGTTCGTCTCCCGTGTCAGTATCCCAAAAGATATAGTGATTGACCAGGGCACATTGTTCTTGTCTTGCACACTAAAAGAACTGTACAAATGACTTGGAATTAAAACTTTTCGGACCACCGTCCACCACCCTCAGAATGATGAGCTGGTGGAGAGGCTGTATAAGACTTTAAAATCCATGATTCATAAGTTCATTCATGAGGATGAATGCAATTGAGATCGCTGGTTAGACCCTCTGTTGTTCGAAGTGTGGGAGGTTCCCCAGGATTTTCTCCCTTTAAGGTAACTTTTCGGCAGGAAGCCACCGGTGGAAAGGAACTGGAAAGGACCCTTTGTGGTCACACAGTGAGTGGGACATGTAGACTACGAAGTGGTACAGTCGGACAGGGGAGGACTCACACAAATATATCACCTCAACCTCCTGAAAGTGCGGAGAGAGGCTAAAACCGTTTCTCTGGTCAGCCTTGTTGGGACTGGAGGTGCCAAATTCCGCCTGCCTCCATTGTGATGGCCTTCTCACACAGGCCCCGAGAGCGGACATTGCTGCATTGCAACAATATTTTGCAGATGTGTTCTCCCCCCTGCCTGGCCATACCAGCCTCATAGAAACTGCATGACGGTACACACACATGTACATAAAAGACAAAGTGTTCAGAGAGAATTGGCTAATGGAAAAGTCAGACAGCACGTGGTGTAGTGTGGTAAAGAAAGATGGATCTATATGGTTCTGTGTTGACTACCATAAAGTGGATGAAGTGTCACAGTTTATCTCATCGCCAGTTCAACAAGCTCCTGGACCGGTTAGGCACCATTTGCTTTTTTTATGTTTCTGGATTTAACAAAAACGTGTGCTTTGTTAATAACTGTACAGTAATACTGGGAGACGTGGGATGAAGAAAGTTGCTAAGAGTCATAATGCTAGCATTAAAGCCTAACCACTGCTGGCATTGCTAAGAGTCATCATGATCTTTACTTTTGATCCTGTTGATGCTGCAGCGATCACATGTTGTATATATAGAATTTGTGTTTTTTTCCTAAGTAGTTTGCCACATGTCGAGGTCAGGGATAAAGGCATGGGCGGATTAAAGCCTATATCGACTCAATGAGAAAAGGCCATATGGGCAAATGAGATCCATGTCCATGAAGCACTAATCTGGGGATGCCCTGAGTGACGAAGGATGGACACTGCCCACATCAGCTAAGAGGCTTGGGAATTCAAATACAGCCAGTGGACTGCTCTACTGTATCCTGCACATTAGCGCCCCCATCTGACCCTGAATAATCAGAGAGTGAAAAAAGAGCCTTGATTGGGAAAGAAGATTAAAAACACTATCACAGTAAACAAATGTAACATTCATTCAAAACATACAGAAAGGAAACAATCATTTGAAGCTTACTGATTAAATTCAAATGAAAAGTTGTTTTGAAGTCATACATTAAAATTTAAATTCAAATGTATACAAGATAAAGGTGAAGATACTGTAAAGTAGATACAGATGTCTTTACAGAGAAATTACTACCACATAAAGAAACTTATATAGTCATTACCAGAATAATAGTTAGCGGGTGCCCCATAGCAAATAAAAGTTAAAAAAAAAGGCATAAATTAAAATGTAGAAGGTAAGGCAAGTGGAGATAAAGCAAAAAGGAGGGGGTATTTATTAGAGATTCTGTCCCAGTGATTGGCTGCAAGGCTAGTAGCAGAAGGACAAATGGACAAATCTAAGGAGCTAATAACACTGAATACGGAACGGCCCTCATGGGCAAATCTGGCACTAAGATGATAATGAGATTATAAAACCCTACTATATTGCGGCAAATTGTATAAGTGTTTCATTGAACCTTGTTGAACTTTCATTTATGCATGCCAGGCTCCTTCCCTTTTTGTCTCTCTCCTTTCTTCTCCTTCCCGGGATGATGGGTAGAGTATGAGTAAGAGAAGGAGTAGAAAAAATGCCTTCTGGATAGAGTTTACCTAGTGTAGGGTTGAATAGAAGACCACAGACTGGGCTTTTAAGACATGCTTGTGGTTAGCATAATTACGGTAGCTTAAAAAATGAAAGGGTATGAGCTCTTGTCAGAGTACAAGTATATGTCCCATACATTTATCTACCGACTGCGTATACCTATTCCAAATATGTATACAAAATGTATGTAATAGGTGACAAGAGCAGTATTCATAAAACTGCGAAAGAAAGAATGGAATGAATTAATTCATCCCTGGTTCTGTTTCGTCGTCCCTGTTGGAGAGAGGTATCTCTAAGGCATAATGCTACCATCACCGTGTTTCACTATAAGGCTAATACTAGGTAAGTGATAGTCAAGTGACTGCAAATAAAAGTTGCCTGACATAGATTCATATGAGAGCATGGCTAATACTAATATAAGCTTAGGCGCAAGAGAGACAGAGTCTTTAAGGTAATTTTGTAATTTTACACACCATGCTTGTAGAATAACAACTCTTTTCCAAAACAGTTGGGACATTGTGCAACATATAAAGAGTGAGTCTGGATTGTATATTGTAAAAGAAAGCATCACCTGTTTTTCTTAACATCAGTGATGAAGTATGATGCCTGATCATATCTCAGATATGTTAGTGAGATGTCACCTACATAACATACCAGTGCTTTTGTTGTACTTTGACTGTTCATATTGAGAATTCATCTGAATAAAATGGAAATGTAAACAAGGCGTACCCAGTTTTTCCCTCTCTCAAATAAAAATTTGTAGGACCAAACAAGACATTTATTTTTCTCTCTAACCATGATTCTCTCAAATCAAAATTTAAATGGTTGTAAAATACAATTATCACCTGTCACTGAGCAGTTATGGAATTGTTATTGTGATATGTATTTGTAAGTCTATGCTTCTGTTCGGTGTTCCACTTATTGTATGTGTAGGCGTGTGTAGGTATGTGTGCGTATATACGTGTGTGTGGATGCCAAGCACCTGCAGGCCTGATGGGCGTGGTCCTGCTAGAGGATTGGCCACGCCTGAAGCCCCACACACACCTGCTGCTGATCAGGCTCGTCGGGGGAGCTATTTAGGAGACCGATGGAGCTCCAACCGATGCGGGATCATTCCATGAGACTCCACGTTAGTCTTCAGCTTGGTTAAGTCTGTGAGTGTATGCCTACTGGAATTAAGTGTCTTGACAGCTGCCTCTGTTATTTCCGCTCAGGAGGAGCGTGGAACAGCGTAGGGCAGTAAGCACGGGGTGTGTGGACACACGAGAGTGGAGAACACAGAGCACGGACTTTTTGAGAAGACACGACACGGGAGTCACGGGAGAGCACGGGGATTTACTGTTATTGTTCCATTCACTGTAAATAAACGCACTGCTTATACACAGAGCACTACGCCTGGGCCCTCCTTCCCTACGGTTTGCCCTGCCAAACCGTGACAGTACCAATGAAAAACAAAAAACACTAATTCTGTCCTTTTAGAGTACTCACAACACAAATTACAGGATATATAAGAATGAAAAGGGGGTAAACATTTGGAAAAGATATGTGACATGCTGTCTTTCTCTCTGTTATGCAGGCAAATTTCAGTCAGATGTATCTGTTATTTAGGCTTATGGTCTTATGAATTGGTATTCTGATCATTTGAAAGACTTTATGATACTGAATTCAATATGTTAGAAATTCAATATGAACACTTTGAAACGGAAAAATACATTTGTGAGTCACTGACATCAGCATTTTCCACATCATCATGATTTAGTCTAGCAATGATTTGCCCCAGACAATGCCCCGACCCTCTGGATCCAGATCAGAGGTTAGCATCCAGTTCACCTGAGTTTACCTCTCTACATCCTGCAATTCTGACACAGAATGTGCAAGTGAGGCTACGAAAACACATAATAGGTATGTGAAAACACACTCGTAAAACACACATGCACACACACACATATACAAGATACACACATTCACTTCCATGTGACCTTCTACCAAGGCAGCGGACTTCCACCCTACCAAGCTGAAAAAACAGAGGTTAGAGGAGGTGAGCTTCATTTGAGTGGGTCTAAATTTCCCAAATCAGCTCACACAAATATCAATCACACGCTGTCTCTGCGTATGTGTGTGTGTGTGTGTCTGTGTGTGTAAGAGAGAGAGACAGATTGATGTTTTTGTGTGGTGAAGAAGTGGAGACAGCTAAAGGTGTTTCACAGTCAGCAATGCGTGGATCAGGGAGGTGAGGGTTACAGTCAAGTCAAACCTAGACAGATGAAACACATTTGCAATAAAAGCTTGACATTATGTGTCAACATACCTACTTTTATTTAAAAGTACTCATTTTTTGTCTATGGGTCTAAGTACATTATTAGTTTAAAAAATTCAAAGTGTCCCCCCTTGTCATCACACAAAAATAATTCTTACTTCTGTAACAATTCATGATACAGATAATAATAATAATTAATATTTGATTTTAACAGCAAAAGTAAAAAAAAATATACATCCAATGCATATATATGTTATACAGGAAATGAAAGTGAGTCCCATTCTGCAGTCCATTATGGTTAATTACAGCATTGTGCTGGGACTCTTGTACTAGAGCATGGTTGGTAATTAAAGTACAGGTAAGACATTAACTTACTTTTGTTAGCCATTAATCAGTGTTTACCTTCAGAGAGCTCCCCCTTTGTAATTAATAATCAGCTTGGACAATGAATAATCACCCAAGAGGAAGTTGTGTGTTCATGTGTGTGTTTTTATGTATTGGTGTGTTAATACCAATGGGGTTTTCCCAAAGTACAGCCTTACTAATAAATGAATAATCTTCAGTCTCAGAAAACCCCCTCCAAAACTTCAAACAAGGGCAACCCCCCCCCCCCCCCCCCACCCCCCAACAACAAATAGAAGAGCCATTCAGTAACATCCCTGTATTTGCTCTTTTTATCCATCTATTTCTGATCACCCTCATTCTCCAACTTTGAACGGTATCCTTTGCTTGGCATCTAAACAGTCCAGGTTTGGAATGATTACATGTTGGGAAGGCTTCTGCAACCCCCACATTAACAAGCACCCGACTCCTCAACTTATTTCTGTCAGCCTTGCTTCTACTCCAACACACACATGCGCAAACACACAAAGGGAGCTTTTCCAGAAAGAGATTGGTTCCACTTTATCTGCATATTTAGCCTGTGTTCAGTGTGTAGCTAACTGATAAAATTCTGCAAGTGTGCCAGGCCCCTGCCAAATGCCAGAGCACCGACCTTCTTAGGAGGAACAAATTCCTTTAGCAAAAATTTACAGAAAACAAATAAAAAAAAACAAACAAAAACCCCAAAACAAAACAAACAAGCAAAGAAACAAATAACGAAAAGAATAAGGTAGTGAAAGAGGAAAGCAAGACAGTCAAAGGAGAAGGGGATGGATCCAGGCTTTATTCCAATGATAATGATATTGATATATTAGTGAAGACTCCCAGAGATTATCATTAACATATAATATTAACATATTATGGTATACCAGCATTGCTTCACAGATGCTTAGGAATAGCAGACATGCCTTCAAGGCTCCTTTTGCCAAAAAAAATCTGAATCAAAACGGATCCTCATTTCTCCAGAGAGCCAAGAGGTATGCAGAGGAGTAGATACATAAAGGGTGAAACCAAGAATAATTATCTTTCTTCGAAAAATTAGTTATTGCTAAGAAAGAAGAATGGATGCAGGAGAGCAAAAGAGCAATGGCAAGACTCACCCTTCAACCCATTCTCCCATTTTTCTGCCTGACCAATACCCTTGCACTTAGCGTGCGTGCGTGCGTGCGTGCGCGCGTGTGTGTGTCTGTTAAGTGAGTGATCATACGCCATTCTCAGCAGCAGCCAGGGGCCCAGGGCTTCCTCGGTCTGGCTACGTAGAAGAGCAGCGGTTCACATTGGGACGTCTGTCATTGCGTATGTGCACATGCATGTGCGTGCATGATAACAAGGATTCACTGGTCTGTTTTCTGTTGCTGAGAGGTTTTATCTCCAACCTTGATTAGCAACAGCTACACACACATATCCATACTATAGCAACCTAAACAAAGGCAGTCGTAGTAGCAGGAGTGACTGCTGATTGAAGTGTTGGGCCACGATGCCCTGACAGCCTTCCTTCAACCTTCTCTCAACCTCGTCACCTCCGTTGCTCTGCTGTGACTCTCACCACAATAGCTGCTGCTTGTGAACCTGCCAGGCTGCCAAGGACACAAAGATGACTGAACCAACCTTTGACATTAGAAGTGTCCACTAAAAGACCAGAGACAAGCCGAGTTGGCAGCTCTGTTAACAGGCTAGAGACCGAGATCTTTTCAGCTTGCTTAAAGTAGCAAAAGTCAATAGAGCACAAGTCAATAGTACATACATTTGGATGGACGCCGTGTCAAACAAGTCTGTGTTTAGATATTGTTAGGCATGCCAACAGTTTCAAAAGGTGACCTCAATATTTTGGCACAACTGTTGCTGTCTTTTGACCGACAGCAGTCACGGAGAAGGAGCAGAAGAGACATAAATCATCAAAGTAAAAAACTGACATTTGAGCATGAAATACAGCATGAGGTTTGTATTGAAGGCTAGATGACATTTCAAGGAGCTGATTCACTCGAAGATGTTAAGGCCACCCACCCACACAGCTCCATGTGGAACATGCCGTTTTAGTGGCCGAGATGAGATAGGAGTGCTAGAGATGTATTCACAGACATGTGGAGCATGTGTAAGATGACCTATACATTCACCATGATGTCAGGGAGGATCTTTGAAGAGAATAAAATCACAAAGCAGAGCATCCCGAGCAAAGATGGAAATGAGGGAAGAGCTAAGAACGTGAACGTTCAAGTATGTTTGTGTGTAACACTGTAACAAAGCAAAAACAGGTGTTTTTAATACCTGCGACAGATATATTGCTTCCTGCTTAAGGCTTGACTTTCCTTCTTTTTTTCATATGTGTGGGACTGTGCAAGCATGCCTGTGTGTGTGTCACTCTTCAAACAACACTGCAATCATCATCTCTTATCAACGGTCATGTTGAGGATTACAGCTTTCATCCCTAATCCTACATTAAGGACACATTCTCATGATGGACGTGACATCATCAAGGCCAGTCAACCACAGAGAGGGCACAAGGACAGGAAGCCAAACACCACAGGAAAGGATTAATGAATATAGGAGACAGAATGGATGATGAAAAAAAAAATGCAAGAGGGGGGTCACAAAGAAGATGAAAACAGAAATGAACTCAGATAGCAAAATTTCTGCAGTGCTGCTGATACAACCTCTCTATTTGTGTTTCAAGATAATCTTCCACTGCTTCAGTTCCACAGTTTGTCTAACAATGACACTCAATCTGTTCTACTAAGATTTAAGATGTACCCATTACCCAGACACATGTGCACAAACATGGACATGTGCTAAATACACACCGTTCTGAACTGACTGAATTCCGATCCACTCCTTTAAATCACTGAAGGAAAAAATACACAAATACTGAGGAGTTTATTTTTAGTCTGCATGAGTCCTTATTGCTTTTTATTAAAAGAAATACCAAGCTGCACTATTACATCCTCTGTGACAGTTCCACATTATATTTAAACCAATGATATAGAACGAAAAAACCACCTTCAATTTTCATGCTAAATAATCTGTGGTTATGGTTTCTAGATATTTAACTGACTTTCAACATATACAAGTGTTAAAATCAATGGACAGATTATTGCATCGTTGTTTGTAACCCTCTCGATGCACTAGTTTCTCAGTACACCTCACTATACCACCCAGAGAAATCATGCCTCTTTTTTAACTGTTACTAAAAAAACAAATATGCTTGACTTATCTAACATTGGCACAATCCAGTTTCCTGCTCGCAAACGTGTGTCAAATTTTAACCAGGAACCTCCCAATACTTCAATGTTCAACAGCCTTATAATGAGCAAAATCTAATAAAACTGAAAGGGATCCCAATTATGCTGTGATTCACAGACATTGAGAAATACTGTTTATATTTTTGGACAGACAGTTTTGGTACCTGCAGAGACTCTGGGGCAGTCTGGCATCATAGGCTCCAGTGGTATGTCCAAGGGCTCCGGACTTGATACCCAGTTACGACAGTGCTTTAGAAAGAGAAAAATAAAACAAATAAACTCTTTGACATTCAAAAGAATTAAATATGACATGTGGAGAGTAATGAATATGTAGCAAGCAGTTTCTTCCACTATTACTTCCACAAACACAGAGAAAACTATTGTAAAAGATGAAGATATAAAAGGAAAGTATTTGGTACAAAATTTAAGTCTTTAATCTTGTTAATAATGGGTGTGTGTTTTTATTTTGTTTCAACTGCATCTAACCAAACACTGAAAAAGGAGCGAAAGCGGTTGGAAACAAACAGAAAGACAGTACGCAAGAAAGTGTGTGTGTTTCTGTGTGTGTGTAGATGAGTAAGGTGGGGGAAGAGAAGGAGAGACAGGAACAAGCAATTAAAAGCTCAGTGACATGTTGCTCAGACAGCTTGGCGTTTGTTTGTGGTGGAGAGCTGAGGCCTTCTACCACAGTGGATGAGTGAGTGCCCTGGGGGAGGGTGTCTGCCCAGCTTGCTGACCCATAACCCCCTGCAAACACCCCTACTCCTCTCACAACCCCAGTGGTTGACAACTCTACTGTCAGAAAGAGGAGAAGACCTCTTCATTCGTTTTTTTTCTTTATGCTGTCTTCATCTTCCTATCTGTCTGGCACTCCCTTTTTTTTCTACCTACCACTGCAGGTTATTTTAGACATATAAGGTCTTAAGCCCCATGTACCATTAATCAAAAGTATCAATGCTTCAGAATAAGGCAACTTAAGTTTTCAGTGCTGTAAGTTTTCATTCTCCGGGTCAGCGGATGACAGCGCATCAAAGTTTGTTTTCCCTTTTGACTCTGCAATGTGGATTGGTATGCTGTGGCTTGTAAGGTAGGTACAAAAACAAGGGAAAAGGGAGAAAGAGACAGAGGGAGGCTGAGAAGGAATGCTTAGAGAAGACGTCCCCCAAGATAAGATAAAAGTTCAATAGAAGAAAGAGAAAATGTAAAGAGATTAGAATGTGCAGCTGGTGTCCTTCTGAATCACTGCTTATCTGCCCTTGTTTACTTTCACCCTGGCCCCCTGACAGCCATTACGGTATTGTACGTGCTTGTGTGCGCGCGTGCGGTTGTGTGTGTGGGTCAGTGACTGCATTTCAAGGGGTCTCCCACGAAGATGTGTAGATTTGTGAACCCTTCAAAATATACACACACACACACCGACGCACAGATGCTTTTGCATTTTTGCCCTCTGTGACGCCGACTCCCAAAGACCTAAAGCAAGACTCACAGAACAGACAAACCCTGCAAATGCTTTCAATTTAAATTACGTAACACAATCACCCAAACGCACACACATTACTTTTGTGGATATATATTCTGTTCTAAAGTCTTTACAAGTTCTCTGGTTTCTGTACGAATATTAAAACTGCATCGAAGCAGAGACACTGAATACATCTAATCCAAACTGAGGTCCTCTTTGCTGTTTATTTTTGTTGAAAAAAGTCTGCGCAGCTAGGGCAAAGCAAATCTCTCATCATATGCTTGACATATACTGCAGTGAGGGTACATTGTGATTTATTTACTGCAAGCTTATAGAGAAATATAGAAATTCATTACAAGAGATAATCATGATGAAACATCTGGAACATATAAATCCGTAGCAAATATTCATTTGGGAAATTTACAGAAAAGTCTGTTATTGAAATAAAGTTTGTTTTTCTTAAGAATGGATTACATATGAACCAAAGTAGTCAATCACTGAATGTGTCTCTTAAATGGTAGGAATGCCTGAATTACTCTTTTCTGGTGCTTTTTCATTTATTTTTAGCCCTGTCAATCAAAAAAATGCTAGCCACTGGAAAGCATAGAGAATAAAAGTAGCCAAAGAGGTTGAAGAAAGATCAGCCAAGAGATGAGAGGGGATGAAGGGGGGGTGGCTGGAGGGCTTGGTGTTCGGGGGAAGATGACAAGTCATCTTGGTAAACAGTGGCATATTGTGTATTTTTAGATCCTTTGGTTTGCCCTAGATGTGCTCTCCTCTGAGCCCGGGCTCGAGGGCAGAGTGGTGCAGAGTAGCACAGAAGCAGTGGGGCTCCTTGACTGCTACATCAAGTGTCTCATTGTATCTCCTTTAATTCATTCTGTCTGTCTGGAGGAAGATGTCAGCTGGGCTGTGGAGCAGTGGGCTGAAGGCAGCTAGAGAGAAGGGAAGGAGGGGAGTCTTTCAAAGGGCCCTCCTCCCTCCCCTACACCTCCACCACCAATGGAGGCAGGGAGGCTGAGGTTTGAATAGATTTGTCAAGGCAACAACACACATGTGCACACAAACTCTTGCATAAATGCACACACACACAGCACAAAGCCCCAGTACTGTGGGAGACCGCAGGCATAACAGCAGTCACATAAAGGCAAGGCCTGCTGGCTGGGATTAGAGAAGGGCGACATGACAAAAGGATGGCACATCACATCGGCTGCCTCTGACACATAGCATCATCACTTCAAGCAGCTCGTCCACCGATCAATGATGCCATTGAACTAAAAGCAGACAGAGAAACAAACATGTAAACAGATTTGGCTGTCCCAAACCTCTGCTACTCTGTGCATGTGCTTTTCTTTGCATGCTTGGATTTATGCTGGTTATGAACATACACATTTGCCCAGTCTTTGGGAAAATCTTTTGAAGTTTAACTTTGCCAACTACCAGTTGGAATATTTAGATTGATATGGACTTAGTAATGTGTTAGGAATGAAAGGATGCCACATTGTTTGATGGAGATGAAAATGATCAACTTACAGATTTCTGATAGAGGGTTTAAGAGTTCATGGAGCCATGGGGCGACCATGGCTCAGGGGGTTGGGAAGCGTATCTGTAACCGGAAGGTCGCCGGTTCGATCCCGGCTCTCTGTCCTGGTCGTTGTGTCCTTGGGCAAGACACTTTACCCTACCGCCTACTGGTGTTGGCCAGAGGGGCCAATGGCGCAATATGGCAGCCTCGCTTCTGTCAGTCTGCCCCAGGGCAGCTGTGGCTACAACCGTAGCTTGCCTCCACCAGTGTGTGAATGAATAGTGGCATTGTAAAGCGCTTTGGGTGCCTTGAAAAGCGCTATATAAATCCAATCCATTATTATTATTATTATTACTATCAGTCAGCTTAGCCTGTAGAGGTCTGTGTGTCCCTCCAAGGATATATCTCCACAAATCATCACTGACCCACCACAAAACTGGTCGTGCTGAACGATATTCTTTCTTTTTCTGTTTCTCCTGTGAAACAGTTTTTGATGATTTGCAAATGTGCTATATAAAGTTTATTATTACTTATGACCACTTCCTACTGTGCAAAATGCAGAATAAAAAATAAATAAAACTCTATTATTTTATTAGTAATATTGTGGATTGATAATCAAACTGTTTATCAAATAAATTCTAAATTTAGCAACAAATACCAGTCAAATGTTTGGACATACCAGATCTTTGACTGGTACTGTATATAATCACTGGATTCTCAGTGTGTACGCATGCCAACTTGGTACATACTGGTAGATGTTTTGTCTCCACACACACTTCCACTCCGTTTGAGCATTTGCATGCAAGGTTAACCACATTAGTAGCTACCACAAACCAATTCGCCTTAAAGAGGAGTGCTTTATAATGGCCTTCAACACCAGAGCTGCATCAATGCAGACTTTCCAGTGATGTGCAAGACTGTTGTGAGCAACTACCCACATATTTATTGGTAAAATGCTCAAACTGTGAAAGATGTTTAATCTGATGTCACAATTTAAAGGTTACATTTTATTGTGACTAAAAGATGCCTGTCTCTAGTCAAGAAAACTGAAGATGGGGTATTTTAATTGTAAAATGTGTATTAGCAGAGATGGTTACAATAGCAAAGCAGCTTACCAAAGTTAAAAAAACAGAAGATGTTTACAGGACATGCTACCAAAGAAACTTGTTAATAGCTTGTTTTTCCTCATAATGCATGCACCGTTCAGAGTGAAGTTTATTCTGAAGCTTGTACCTGTATTTATATCCTATGCATAATTCTTACTGTTTAATTAAGGTCACTGTTTTGTCAATTTTAGGCAACGAAACTATACGGGTTTGCATTCAGATACACTCTCATGTTTAAAGACAAACTTATCAGTTGATTCAGCCTTCCATCATATTACTTGTTGCTGCAATGATGAGTTCAGTGTCAGTGAAGTGCAGAGAGCTCTTGGCTAAGGTCTCATGATAACTACTTCAGACGTTTAGGGATTTAGGTTTCTATTACAGTACTTGGCATTTTGATACAATGACTTTAAAAGGGTACCCAGTGGATTAAAATGTAGAGCCAAAGGGTCCTGACCGAGTGTCAGATGGGAGGGAGACTAACCTTCTATATATGCAACCATATATACCACCTCGGTTGCAAAACTGCATCTCCACCTCTCATTCTGAAAGCACACCAAACTGAGTCCCATGACAGAAACTCTGTACCAAGTGCACAAAGTCTCCTAAACCATAACACACATGACAGTCTGCTACCTAACTTCTCAGAAAGTAGTCCTGAGTATCAATTTTTGCTCACTCTCTCTGTGTCTGTTTCTAACCCACCTCCCCCAGTTCTTGAATAATCTCTATGGATTAGGATGGTTTATTCATGACCATAGTGTACTCTGAATGTGTGTGCATATGCGTGTGTGTCTGTGTGTGTGTGCGTGCTCTGGGCAGGCCACTAGAGTGTGACAGCAGGCCAGCACAGTGACAGGAGACACCTTGGAGATTGTGACAGGCTGCCAGCTGTACACCATCATTTGGATTTCTCTCTCTCACTCACTTCTCCTCACTATGCTACTCATCTACCTCCACATATATCTCTTCATCCTCCTTCTGCATCTGTATTCACTCCATTCACACAGTACCTGTGTTTTTTTCTCTTTCCACAGCTCTACACTGTGCTTTCTCAGTGGCAGTCAACAGGATTTAAATAATTGAATGTTTCTCATACTCTGTTTCTTTGTATATTTTTTTCTGTCTCAGTCAGTAGATCAGTCTTTCTATCTTTGCT